CATAACTGATTCTCTTTGACAGTGGGAAATCTCATAATTCTTAACAAGTCCTATTGATTGCTACCATTTCTGCTTGCCAACTTGTTTCTGATACCTCAGAACTGGATCCTCTTAGCATATGGCATGTTGGAGGCTCAGGGCCAGCCAGAGGAAATACAAATGAAGAATTTGGCAACCTGGCTTTGAAAACTCAGTCATTGAAAAAGTGTATGGAACACAATTCTTTTCTTGTTACAATGAGTGTTGCCGTCAGTAAAAATTGACTCTACAACAACTGGACTTTCACCATCTCTTAGTTGCTATGATTGATCATTGTCTCAGTTTGCACTCTGACAACCAAACTTTGTTAATTTCCATGTCACACACAGCCAACCCAGCAGTAAGATATGGTCATCTTGTACTGGGTAAGATAAGATTCGTAGGGCAGAAAAGAGCTTTCTATAGGCTAGAGCTATATTCTGAAACGTAAATGTGCACTTTAATCACTTAAGGATTAATTCTATTAGAATGAGATTTCTGATTCAGCAGGTCTGACTTGATGCCCTCATATTATGAGTTGTTAGGTGCAGTCAAGTTGAATATGACTCATACCAACCCTATGAACAAAAAGTGAATTAATCTTAAATAAGAAATCAAATTATAGGTCAAAGCGAGAAGATTGAAAAAGCAAATCTCGTGTTCTATAATCAGGATGCCTGGGTTTAAACTAGGACCCACCTTTTACGGATCTTGAAGAAAATCTTCTTCTCTGTGCCTGCCTCAGTGACCCATAAAGAAAGCCATCTTGAACAATAAACTCCCCCAAACCATAATCTTCACCCACAGAGTTTAGAGCCAAAATAAACATAAAATGTGATAAATCACTTTAGGGGAAATGAAGCTATGAATAAGAACTAGAGCTATGGTGGCAAAATGTGTAGTATATTAAACTGTTAACCAAAAATATCAGTGGTTCAAATCCACCAGGTGCTCCAAGATATAAAGGTGAGTTGTCAACTCCTGTGTAGCTTTATCATCATGGAAACTTGATGAAGTGTTTCTGTGAGTCAGAATCAATTCAATTGCAGTGTGTTTGGTTTTTCGTTTATGAAAAAGAGACCAAAGAAAAATTGATACTTTTTATTTATTATCTTGTAGAAAAATATTAAACATACCAAAGACTGCTAAAAGAACAAATGTGTTTGGGAAGAAGTGTTTCTTAGAAGTGATAATGTAGAGATTTCTTCTGTACTTTGGACATGTTTGGGTCCATCACAATATGATGGACCAATGCCTAGAGATAGATAACATGTTTGGAAAATAAAGCTTCAGTTAAAAAGAAGGTAACCCTCAATAAAATGGATTAACACAGTGGCTGCCACAATGGGCCCAAGCATAGAAAAGATAGTGAAGAAAGCATAAGACAGGGTAGTGATCCATCCTGTTCTTTTTTTAAATATATCACCGCTGGACCAATTAGCAGTATCAGGATGGATGGTGAAGAGATTGAGATTGTTCACAGCTTTAGTTTGCTTGGCTCCACAGTCAACACTCCTGGCACCAGTAGTCAGGAAATTAAAAGACGTATTGCCATGGGAAAGTCTGCTGTTAGGGACCTCTCCAAAGTACTGAAGAACAATGGTGTCTCTCTGGAGACTAAGGTGCATCTGATACAGACCATGGTCTTTGCTATCACTGGTTATGCATCAGAGAGTTGGACAATGACTAAGGGGGATAGAAGGAGAATTGATGCCTTTGAGCTGTGGTGCTGGAGCAGGTTATTGAGGGTACCATGGACTGCTAGGAAAACAAACAGATTTATCCTGGAAAGGGTTAAACTGGGCCACTCCTTAAAGGCAAGGATTCTGAGGCTCCATCTAACATACTCTGGACATGTTGTAAGGAGTGACCAGTCCTTGGAGAGGAACATCATGCTTGGTAGGGTGGAGGGACAGCACAGGAGGAGAAGGCCCTCTATAAGGTAGATTGATTCAGTGACTGAGGTAATCGGGATGGGTGTATTGGAGACGGTGCAATTGGCACAGGACAGAGCAGAGTCTAGGGCTGTTGTACGTAGGGTCACTATGAGTCGTGAGTGACTCAATGGCACATAACAACAACAACAACAACAACAACAACATATTTGTGATCTATTTATTTAGAAAGAATTTTCACACACAAAAAAAACAGCAAAGATACTTTGCTTTAAGGGGGAAAGGCACTATATTTTAATACAAAAATCACTATATGGAACTGCACACCAAAGAAGAGTGACCACATTGAAAAGTGACTTATTTTTAAAAAAAAATTTCCAGCACATCTAACAGGAACCTTGATATTCAAAATCTCTACCAAGCTGGCCACCAAAAATAAGAACAACACCCCCAATATTCAGACATATACCATGTACAATTTATGTAAGCAAAGAATTGTAAAATACAATAGAAAGAACACAATACACACACATACATATGTATACCTATATATGTTTTCTTTAACAATGCATCAAAATGGTATTCCCTGATGTTATTAAGCTCAAAGATATTCTTAACTTCAAGCTACTGCATCCTTAATCCTTAATACATAGGAAATATACAAAAATTCACATTTCCCTAGAAACTATCATGTGAATTACATGTTTTGCATTTGTTACAGTAAAATCCACAAACAGAGGTTATTATATGGTGTGTTGGTCATAACATTAAAAAAAAATTAGAGGGTTGTCAGTGTTTTTTCCCAACACACTGTAGAGTTGGGAAGAGCAGCATGCATGAAGGGGATGTTTAAGGAATTGTCAACTCACTCAAGAATTGTTCCTAACTAAGGAGAAGTCCTAGAGGAACGCTGCTCTCGAAACAAACACTGTCCTTTCCCAGGGGTCCTGACACACAGATGGGGTGGAGTCTTTTCTACAGGACCTTACAGTTCTACTGCTCTTGAAGTTGGGTCCAGCATCTGGGTTGGGGACTTCCTGGCCTGGTGTGGACCTCAGGCAGGTTTCTGACAGATAGAGATCATGTGCTGGGCTCGAAGACAGCAGCACCTGGGTCCACTGGGCTCTGCTGAGCACCCTTGCCCTTTTGTGATCTGCTGCTACGAGCTGTTTGTGTGGAGAGCTCTGCACTTTTATGAGTGGGAGTCATCTCAGTGCCATCTAACAACAACAACATGATAATTGGTTACTGAACGCCTCTGAATCTATTCAATCATTCTTGAAGTGGGAAAACTATATTTACCATATCCTTGTTTTACTAATTATGTCAGAGGCAAATAGGGGAAATTGTTGATCAGTGAGAGTTATCCTTCAACAAGGAAAAAACAGCTCAGTTACTGAATGAGTTGAGAACATGAAAGATACACTTCACCGAAGAAGATGGCCCACAAACACCTGAAGACAGGCTTAATTAAGATCTTTAGCTATCAGAGAAATGCAGATCAAAACAACAATGAGAGATCTCACCCCAGGAACAATAGCTAGATTCAACAGGACCATAAACAACAAATGCTGGCAAAATTGTGCAGAGATTAGAGCTCTTACACACTGCCAAGGGGAATGTAAAATGGTGCAACCACTGTAGAAAGAAGTCTGGTGCTTCCTTAAAAGGTAGAAACCGGGAATACCATTTAATCTAGCAATCCACTACTAGATATATAGATATCCCTAAAACATAAGAGCTTTGACAGGAACTAATATATACACATGCAATGTTGATTGTTGCATTATTCCCAATAGCAAAGAGATTAAAACAACTCAAAGTGTCCATTGATGAATGGTTAAAGAAACTCTGGTACATTCATACGATGGAGTATGATGCAATGCTGAGTAATGACAAAAATTTATGAATCATTGCATTAACTTGGATGAATGTAGAGAAAATTGTGCTGAGTAACATCAGTCAGTCACAAAAGGACAATTGTTGTGTAAGACCACTATTGCAAAAAAGCTAGGAAAGGTTTGCACACAGGTGAAATCATTATTGATGGCTACCAGAGATGAGAAGGAAAGAAGATAGAAGTGAAAATAAATGAATAACAGGTAAGTTGAGTGAAGGGAAAAGCAATATGTAATATGAATTGGCTATCCATTATTATTCAATTGTAATTCATGCTATAAAACAATATATATATGATTGCATAAAAAATCAGTATGATTTGTTTACTCATTCAAGAATCCTGATAAGTTTCACAGATTTGTTCTGTTATTCACCTATTAAATAATTCAACCAAGTAATTGCTATTAAAAATGGGTATCAGTAAAGTTTTTTTAAAATGATGATCTTTAATGCTTAAGCTAATTTATTATTTATATTATAAATTTTACATTGTATTTATTTAATATAAATTTTATATTTTATATTATAAATAATAAATTATTTAACGAATTTATTGTTTATATGCCATTGAGTCGGAAGCAACATACAGTTGACCCTCCAGCAGTTTTCAGAGGCTGTAAATAACACAGAAGACACATCTTTCTCCTGTGACGCAGCTGGTGGCTTTAAACTATCTTGGGATTAACAGCACAATTCCTTACCCATTTGACCACCAAAGAGTCCCTTTAACTGGAAAAATTCAAATTCATTTCCTTCCATTTCACACTCAGTTGCCTTCATCCCCATTCTTCTCCAAATTGGACTCTATCATTAAAAGTTGGTCATTGGGGAGCTTTCCAAATGTTCAACAATCTGGGATCTCGAAATATTATATTTTTTTAAATTATGCTAGTTTATTTATAAAATTCTAATACATTATTTTTCAAACCAGATTCTTCTAATTCAATATTATAGAATTATTAATTCTTTGTTTATCTGGGAATATGAAAATTTCAAAATTCATTCTCATGTGCTCCTTTTAAGGTGCACTGGAAGTCTGTGTGGCATTCCAGATCATTTTAGAGATTTGTCAGCAGTGGAGATCTGAGTGTGACCTGCAGGACTTAGCTATTCCCAGTTTTGGAGAGTTTATTTTAAAGTGTTTATGGCTGGTTCTGTTTTTTTGTTTTTTTTTTGTCTATTTCCTAGGGGGACCCTTTTACAAAAGGTGAAAAGGGAGATAGAGTAAGTAGATGTTTGATCGTGGTTCTGGGTTTTCTGCTTCATTGATTTCTTTCTCTTTGATTCTCATTTATTTGCTCTAGAGATTTGATAAAAATAGACTTGATAAAAGAAACTTACTGAGTATTGTATCTTTCTACTGTTAATTTTGACCTCATGTTGGTAATTGGGAAATTTTGTTGTTCTCGAGTTTTACCACATGCTGATACTTTAATATGTTGTTTTTAATTCATTACTATTTATGATTGTACATGAGTACCTTTATGAAATTACATGGAATTTGCATGTGTGAAATTGATATAGAATCTATGTCACTATACACAGTAAACCAGCTTTTTTGTTACAGTGTTAGATAATATTTCTCTTTCTACTTGGAAAAAAACAAAAACATAGAACCCACTTTGGATATCTAAAATACAAATAATTTTTTTTTCAAAAGTTTTGTTAAGGACACAAGTTCAATTAACCAAACAGCAATTTCATCAAAATATTTGTTGTTGTTGTTTGTTAATCTAGAAGAAACTCATAGCTGACCCTCCATCACATTTTCAGAGACTGTTATTTGCATAGGAGGAAATTGCTCATCTTTCTCTCCCAACACAGCTAGTGATTCAAACTGACTGTCGTTAGGTTGGCATCACACAACTCCTAACAAAGAACTGTTGTTGTTGTTAAAGTGCCATCAAGTTGATTACCACTCATAGCAACCCTGTGAACAAAAGACCTGAACTCTATTCTATAACTATGGTAATTTCTCTGTGTTCATAGAGTTTCCAGAGGCATGTGCTTTAGGAAGTGGATGCCACTCCTGCTTCCAAATCTGAATCAGTCTGGGAGCTTCACCAAACACTGTCCACAATGGGTAACCACTATGGCATTTGACACAACAGTGACACAGCATTCAGCATCGCAGTAACCCCAAGTTACTTCAATACAGCAACCTGACAGACCACTGCTGTACCACTTAGAAGAATGTTCACCCCAAACACAATTAATACCAGACTTGAGTGCAGCAGGCCCAAGGACCCTACCAACTTTTAAATACAAGTCTTGCCCTGCCCACCAGATCTTGGTTGACTCTAAATCAAGAGGCTTCCAACTCACAGCTCATTCTTAGCTAAGTCCAACAAATCAAATCAGCTCATACCCAACTGTGAATGAAAAAAAAACAACAAAAAACAACCAACAACCGAACAGTCCACACCCGACCCTTACCTAGAAAAGAGAAACTATCTTCCAGAATCCAACCACTGAGCCTTCAAACTGGAGACTTAATTGACCCTACTGCCTTTTAAATACAAAGCCTACCTACCAGGTCCTGGTTGACTCTAAACCAAGAAGCTTCATTGTTAGCTAAATCCAACAAATCCAATCAGTTCACACTCTATTGTGAATTTAAAACAAAACAAACAAATAGTCCACACCTGACCCTCACCAAAATTAGAGAAACCACCTTTCAGAATCTAATTGCTTCACACATTCCAAGAGGCTTCTAGCCCACAGCTCATTGTTAGCTAATTCTAGCAAATCCCATCTGGGTAGTGGATTAAAACAAAATAATAAACCACCTTTCATGAGGAGCAACTTTATTCCAAAAGATAAGGAGGAAAGGGAAAGAGGCTATAGTGATGTGGAAAAGGGCTGCCACATTTCAACTATAAAATTTATAGGTATTTCAAAATTATAGGGAAAGAGAGGAGTTTTTTATAGAGATTGAGAATACTTTAAACAAAGTTGAAGAATCTAGTTGTGATGAAGTAGAGTGAAAGGATGGCACCAGTGGATGGTAATTCAGAAATATGTTAAGGTCAGCCTGTTTTCTGGATGATATTTAGAGCAGTCATATGCTGACACAAACTGAAGATGGACCAGAATTGAGGGACTGTTAGGAAGGAGAGGAGCTTAAACAAAATTTGGTTAACAGGCACTTTGTTTCTGATCAGTATCAGTTACCAATTGCCGTCCAGTCAACACTAACTCATCGCCACCAGTGTGTGTCAGAGTAGAACTTTTCAAGGGCTCATTTTTCAGAAGTCATGTACCAAACCTTTCTTCTGACCTGCTTTTGGATGGACTTGAACCTTTGGAAAATGAATATGTTAATTGCTTGTATCTACTAGTGGGAATCAGCAAGGCAGTATTATTTGTGGGGCTAAGAATGGGAATTTGGAATGTCTACTTCTGGCCTTGTCGTAGGTAAACAAGGACCCACTCACCATTATAAGTCATGAGGACAGTGGTAGCAAGACCATTTGATTTAGACATTTTAGTCTGCTGAGCCTCAGAAAAAGCCAAATAAGAGGCTTTTTTGTACTTGTTTTTAGGACTTGGTAGGCTTGAGGACAAATGGAATTTAGATGCCTATAGAAAAGAGAGAAACAAAAGTGTTTTCAAGACAAAGCAAAGGATAATGAATGTATAGTTGTAACATTTGGTCATGGTTTAATAATGTAATACAAAGTCATAAAAGCAAACTCATTGCAACTAATTTTACTCTCCTTTGTGTAAACTTAGTTTTCCCCCATTTTTTTCTTCCAATTAACTACATTTATATTATAATTGCCAAGACACAACAGTTTAAATTCTACTCCCCACTCCATCTAAAGTTTTTAAAACTTTATGATATGAAATTAGTCAGTGGCAAGTCATAACAATGTCAATGAAGAGAGAACGCAGTAATAGCAAATGGCACAGAATGTTAACAGAGCCAAGAGAGACACGAGGGGGTAAACTGTCACAAAGTAGAAAGAGAAATAAAAAGAGATTGCTTACTTATTAACAATTATTAACAGTAAGTCATGTTTTAGAATTAACCCACCTTTGTTTCATCATACTTTGGTTACTAACCTCCTTTATTATTTGCTAATAAGGATCAGTGTAAATTAATTAAAGTATTAGTGATGCCTTCCCCCAGCTGAATGTAAGCATGACGGATATGATTATTTTCTCTACAGGGAGAACCTGGAACAAAAGGCTCACAGGGAATCAAGGTAATCGGACATTCTCTAATCATATCTCCAACCATAATGCTATAGTGCAAATTGAACGTGTCCATTTACCTTCCATTCCCACTGCATCTTTAGGGTGAACCTGGAGATCCTGGTCCCCCTGGCTTAATAGGAAGCCCTGGACTAAAGGTATAGAACTGAGTTAAATTATAAAATACTTTATGAATATAACCTTTGCTGTGTCAAACAAGGCACTTTGGCATGCCGCTCATTTTCTTCACAAAGACTCTGAGAGATGTGATCGTGTTTCCATAGTGATACGTTCCTTTATCGGCTGCATTTATAACACACGTAGTAACTGTGCCTTATGGTTCACAATGGGAATTTTTAAAACTCTTTTTCAGAGCATACTCACAGTAGCATCCTTTAAAAGTGTGAAGAGTAAACAATGCGTGTAAATCTATGGCCCTCAGCTGTATCCTTAAAAGGAACAGCATTTAAAATTCAGTGTCTGAGCCAAAATGATAAAGCCTTGGGATTCTTGAATTTCACAGTGGGATTCCGCAGGAGTGCAGGAGTGTCCCAAGGAAGAACAGCTGTTAGGATGGTGCTGGGGAGAGAAGTGTGATGCATGCATGCCTTGACAATAGGTAAGGCAAATTATTCAGGCATTACCTGCGGCTGAAAGCAGACTTGTTTCGATGGTGACACAACCTTTGCAAGGCCAAAGCACAGTTTGGTATCATCCAGAAAAGACAGGATGGTGGAAAAGCATGCGCGCATGTGTATGTGTGCCTACACACGTATTTTTTTTTCATGTTGTTGTTATGTGCCATCAAGTCGGTTGCGACTCACAGCGACCCTATGTACAACAGCCCTAAACTCCGCTCTGTCCTGTGCCAATCGCACTGTCTCTGACACTCCCATCCCAATTATCCC